CAAAGGTGCGGAACTGATTAATTACATTTTGATCATTTTTGATCATTTTTGATAATTTTTAACATTTTTGAATATTTTTTGATAATTTTTTGACCATTTTTAATCATTTTTGATTATTTTTGATCATTTTTGATAATTTTTGATAATTTTTGATCGTTTTTGATCAGTTTTGAAATTTTTTGATCATTTTATTAGTTTTACACCCTTGGTAAGAGCAAGTAAAGTCAAAAAAGAATTACTTTAAATTGTTAAAATTATTTCTTTAAATTTTTGAAATTTTTGAACTTTTGAAAAATTTTAAAAATAGTTTTAAATTCTTCTCTGAATTAAAAATCAATAAAGCTACTCAAATTCACAACATTCAAAACACTTTCAACCGGAAAATGATCGCATTTAACTTTCCAAGCACAAAAATCACATCAAATTCTTATCGAACTGTTCCATCACAAAATATTGACTACAATGTAAAGTACAAAATATAAATAAAAAACTACAAAAGGGAGAAATGCATGCTGCTTTATTTGTTTAGAAAATAACTATTCACAATGATCACATTTATGAGTGAAAGCGACATACATAATTTCATTTTTATTGTTTAAAAAAATGTGCTTTAGTTTTATAAAAATAAAAATTTGCAATAATATTAAATGAGGTTTAAGATCATCCGATTTGTGGAGTTAATGGGAATATATAGCTTCTGTTTATTTCGCATTTATGCGCATATATCTATTTCAAATGTGTATTTGAGTGGATAAATTGTGATCTCATAACGAGTTTATTGTTGGATTTAATTTTTTCTAAGTTCTTATGAGGATTTTGTCAGATTTTATTTCAAAATATTTGACAAAAAAGTTATTAAATTAGAGAATTTAATTTAAAGTGCGTAGGTGTGGCGCGTTCGTATCCCAATAAGTGAAAAATATTTCTTGTAGCTTTGACACAATTTGCCCATTCTAGTGCCTGTTTGGTGTAATATTCGGACTTCATTGGCATCACTTGCTCTTTTACTATTCATACTAGCTACTTTGATGATCCATAAGCTAGCTATTTCTCTCAAAATCCCCACAAGTCCACTTCAACAATATTATTATTTTTTTTTTATCGCCTAATTAAATTTTTCATCTCAAACAATAAACCGAGAAGAAAAATTAATCAAGCGACTTTATGAATTGAAAATAATCCAAAGCATAAGTTGGATATAAAGTTGGTCATAGAAATCTGTCGTTACACAATAACATTCATAAAAAATGTAAAGATAAATCTGCAGTCATATCATGAATTTTTTATTACCTCTGGTGCTGCTATTATAGCTACTCCATCATGATCATTAAAGTTAAAAGGAAAGAATTGTAAGAAGACAGAAAGTCGAGAAGATATCGCTAAATTATGATGATGATGATGATTGCGCGACTTTTCAATTTCAATAATTTGCTTTTTTCATATACTTTGAGATGCTCAATGAATTGACATTTATAGGTGGCCGAGAGCGAAAAGATCGCTTTCAAGATGAAAATTATTGTCTCATTTTTTTGCCTCTTCAATGGCACATTGTCATTAAATGGTAGTGGATAGGAAGAAAGCGAAAAATACACAACAATTGTGTAATCAATCTTTTTTCGTCTCTTTTTTACTGAGTCATTGATGTTAAAAAATTAAATTGAAGTTTAATTGAGAAAAAAAAAAACATTTTTTTTGTGTATTTTGTCGGCAAAAAAAGCGGTAAACACTTTATATAATTTTTTAAAACTCTTTGGGAATCGAACCACTAAATTTGAATATATTTTTTACAATTTTAATATTTTGCAAATATTTGACTTGGATGGTTTAAACAAAACTACTTTTTAAATAAAGATGCATCTTTAAGCTCAATTTTATTAGGCTGGTCTCCTTTCTTGTCTAATCTTCAACATTTAACAATCTCCCAATCTCAATCAATGTCCGATTCCTCATCTTCTAATTTTGCTCAAACCTATTCTAATTGCTTCATGAGCGGCAATAAAATCCAAAACCCAGCATACATCATTTACAGCTGACCCCCCCTCCCCAACTAAATCCATTTGCTGTCCAAATACCACAAATACCAATAAATCTCACATTGCATATTCAACCTTTCAACAAATTTAATGGCACATAAAGTGGAATTTATTGTCGCATGATCATAAAATGTTTTATTATTATTTTGTATGTGTCGTAGCTGCCTTTATTATCTCATCTTTTTTTTCTTGAAATTTTTGACATATAGACACGAATAAAAAAATATTTTATAGCAATTTGCATTTGAAAAAAAAAATGCAAAAGTGAAATTGAGAGTTGATAATTATTGTGATGAGTGGGATTAGAGATGCAAGAGGTAGTAAAATTGATGATGGGTTAGGTGACTATGGAGCTATGGATGATGTAATTTATGGTTTTTAATAAAATGATCTACGTTTTGGATTATTCAAGCATTATTAGCTTCTTTAGAGTGTCTTATATACTCTGATGCACTGTACTTGACCTATAAATATTAAATGATATAGGATAGAGACTTAGCAGCTTAAAGAGGGACTTAGGAACTTCAAGGATGACAAAGGATCTACAAGGGGGACTTAAGAAACTTCGAATGGATATAAGAAAGTTCAATGAAGACTCAGGTACTTCAAGGGAGACTTAGAGACTTCAAAGAGGGGCAACAGGATACAAAAGAGGCTCAAGTTCTTTAAGAGAGACTTAGGGACTTCAAATGGGCCAACAAAACACCCTATTGGGTGGTAATAAAGCTAATTGTGATACATTACCCCATTAAAGTATTCCACCAAAGATTAAAGACCACAAAAATTAAATTTAAGGCATAAGACTCTAGTAGCCCAATGAACCATGATATCAAGTCAGTAGAACCAAGTTTAAAATCTAGCAACAGCATCCAGCAGCCACAAAGACATTCCAATTCATTTTTCAAAGAAGCATATCGCCAGACTCCCTTCAAAATCCACACAAACCAGCACAAGATAGGAAGTTGAAATATCATTTTAAATGCAAATTTCTTTCTAATTCATTTCTTTCCTCCTTCTTACTCTCTCTTTATATGCCTGTGCTGCACATTCGTTTCCTACAATTTCAATAATATCTCATTCGGTGTATCGCATCATGAAATGAACAGCACAACACTAATGCCTAATGCCAATGTACAGAACTTTAAAGCAATATGCAACAGACAATTTATTTTATTTTCATTGCCTTTTACGTGTTCCAGTCAGCCTCACTCCGCTGTAGAATGCACATTTTCAGATTAATCGCATGTTGAATTTGTAGAAAAATGAAAAATTTATGCAGCGAGATTAAAATTTTTAGATTCTTTTCGCTTGCCTTTCTTCACTTCCTTCTTCACTTATAGGCTTCTCTCTCGTTTGCTGATGATGCAAAACAGCTCAGCATGAGGCATACTAATCCGTTATGTTGTACTATAAATGTGTGCGAAAAGGGATTTGACTTTAATGCTGAATATGCAATGGAAAGAAATTTCTTTCATTAAAAAATTGTAAATAAATAAAAAAGAAATGGAAACGATTGAATTAAGTGGCAAATGTAATGTATTGAAAAAAGTCGAACGAGAAAAGAGGGGAAAAAAGTGTTACAAATCGATGAAATAAAAGTTTCCGTTGAGAAATTGTTGTAATGATCATTCATTTAAAGGCGATTAATTTGAATCAAGGGGAATTTAAATCTGTTGGGCTGGCGAAAAAAGCTTGTTGGTTGTTGATGCAAAATGAAATCTAGAAAAATTCAGACCATAACCTTACATTTGTAGGATTTGAACCCTCTGTTTGCTTATTATCAATTATTAATTCATAACAATTTCACCTTGACATAAGTTTAACAAAATCACATTCTTAAATGACAAAACTTCAAATTCTCTAAACATTTAAGCTCTATTACACGCTCATGTCTAAAATTACAGCCACTTATATTCCCAGTACATTTTCCGGAATGTTAATTTGACCATAAAAGAACTTTTTTTTTCATCTTAACATAAATAAAGCAACAACCGAAAAAGAACTCAACTAGCATGCTCACTAAGATTCATGTCGCGTTTCTCATGTTCTATGTACTGTGCATAACATTACACTACATTCCATCTTACTTGCTTGCTGTTTACCTAAATGGTCGAAATAAGGACAAATAATTAACGTTAATTAGCTGCTTCATGAGAATTTATTTCTTCTTATTAGTCATTTTGCTGGTTTAGCGGTGTTTTTGAGGAAGAAGATGAGTCATTAAGACAGTTTGAGACAAGTTTGAGCTTATTGCGTTTGGATTTAATTAGATGGAGGTACACAGTACTAACTTTAGCAAAGTTAAGGTAAATTGCGCTGAATTCAATAAAACTTAGATGAATAGTGCTGAATTCAGCAAATATTGAGCTGAATTCAGCATAATAATAGCTAATAATGCTGAACAAGCTTTTAATACAGCATACATTGAGCTGAACAGCGTTGAATTTAGAATTCATTGAGCTGAATAGCGCTGAAATTAGCAAATATTGAGCTAAATTGAACTTAGTGCCATCGAAATGAGCTGAATAGTGCTGAATTCAACAAACTTGAGTTGAACAAAGAAGATTTAATGCAAAAATAATAAGATTTGCGCCTCAAACCCACTCCAAAAATTCCCACACAAACTCATCTCATTTTAATTATATTTTGTTTTGCTAAAAATGTTTCACGACTTTTCCAAGTTAAGATTAACCTACAAAAAAAAATTATTCTTGGCTGATTAAAGAGCAGCAGGAATGCTGGAATCATGTTTATGGATTGTTAAAGTTTCTTGCTGAGCTTCTTATCACTTGTACGTATGCTTGTTCACATGTAGCATGACTATAATAATAAATAACATGACTGAATGTAAACAAAATGGAACGAAGAACGCAATGACATGAGAGAGACGATCCAATTTGGAACAATAGAATAATTCTATGCTTTATATTTTATTTAATATCTTTTATTTTTTTTTCTTCTTTTCAGTCAACTCCAATTGGTACCACAATATTTCGCAATATTCTAGCGCAAGATAAAGATGCTGGTGTGAATGGACTGGTTGAATATTTTCTCATCGATAGTTCAAAGAACCTTTTACATTCGAACGATACAGTAAATGTTGCTGATGGCAATGGTGTATTTGCTATTTCTTATCCACATCAGGGACAAGTAAGTGCATGACGATGGCTGGCTGTATGTGCCACAATATTTATTTATTTCGTATTTTGTGTTTCTTTATACGCACGCAAGCACATATTGGCAAATTGGCAATTTGTTTTGCAATGCTATTGACTTTTCTCTTTACTGTAGTCTCCTCTCTTACTCTGTGGCCAGGTACTGTCTTTTATAATTATTTTCAATGTGAAACAAATTGCCAACTATTTGATTGTCATGTCCCTTGGGAGTGCTTCATCGGGATTCTTTAGATGATGGTTTGGAAATAATGACAGAATCTGAGCATTTTTTCAAGCCTAATGTTAGGGTTAGCTTGCTTAGGAATCGACTAGATTACTAAAGCTCTACAAGTGCATGGAGATGAGAGCTACACACTGTGTTCTAAATAACAGACGTCACTTCTAAGTGTCCTCATTCAGAGTTGTGTCCGAAAATTCCAACAAAATCTCCCCAAGGGCATCAGTGTCTACCTCACAATTGTTTGTTGTGCTGCCATATAATACACAAAATCCATAATAATAACTTACATTTTCACACCTATTAACTTACTTATATCTCCTTTCATTATATATTATTATTTATTTATTTGTCTCTCTCATAATTTCCCATTATTATCTCTTCTGTTTTTTTGCTACTTAGGTTACTGTTGCGAAGGCCTTGGATTACGAACGAATTCAACGATATTATTTGACCATTGTTGCATCGGTAATGAAACAAATTTTATATATTTTTTGTTCGAAATTTATGAATCGTTAATTAAATTTTAATTGCTATTTTTTTGCTTGTCATTAGTCATTCAATTTGTCATTGATTTAATGGATTTATGGATGATTAATATGCATAAAATTATAATTATATGTTTTTCCTTGTATCCGATTTGTTTGCTGACAAAGTCTGAAGGATGTGACAAAATTTCGAAGATTAAAGCATTAAGATGAAAAAAAATAATGGATTATGACCTATTGGCATATTATCAAGCCATTGAATGACTTAATGTTGAAAAAAATAGAAATTAATTGTTTAACGGTTTTTTAAAAATTCAAATCTTTTTTTAAATTTTTTTTAATATCTTCTGTAACCCCCAAAAAAAATCCAGGACCGAGCCCGCAACAGCAGTGAGCGACTCTCAGCAACAACAGTCCTCACAGTCAACATTGCAGACTCGGACGACCTCGATCCGTCATTCATTTATCGCGGTTGCGTTAATCTCGATGGTGCATGCATTAATCCCGAATATACAGCAACAGTTCCAAGTGGTACACTTCAAGGCGTTCTCAACATTCATCCCGAACGCATTCAAGCCATTGATTTGGATCAAATAAGTGCACCTATCAAGTACTCATTCGTAAGCGGTGCGCCAAGCACATACAATGAATATTTTGAGATTGACGAGCAGACAGGCATTGTGAGGCAAAAGAAGTTGGTTGATTCATCAGTCACTGCACGACAATTTGATATAACAATTCAAGCTGAGGAGGTATCTGAAGCGAAACGTTCAACGACAGCGCGTCTGACAATTAATGTGAAGCCTGTTGATTCCTTTCCACCCGTCATTAATGCATCGTCAAATGAAGGCTTTGTGGATGAGAACTCGCCAAAAGGCACAAAAGTTCTTGATTTAAATGGCAAACCCATTAAGCTTATAACAACTGACGCTGATATACCTGAAGATGGTGAACAGCCATCATACACATATGAATTGACAACACCATCATTTGTCATATCCAGTGACGGCATTCTTCTCGTCAACGATCCAAATCTCGATCGAGATTCACCAAATTTATCAAAATTACGCTTTCAAGTTGTCGCACGTGAAGTGAAAGGAAATGCAGCAAGTTCACCCATGTCCATCACTGTCAATTTGAATGACATTAATGATAATACTCCAAAACTTGCACTAATACCGCCCGTACAAATTACAGCTGGCAATGAACGTCGACTTATTGCGAAAGCGAATGCAACTGATAATGATAGTGGTGAGAATGCAGTCATAACGTACACAATACATCATGTGTCCAATAATGGAATGAAAAAATTCGGAATTGATAAAAGTACTGGTGAGATTGAGGCTATTGCAAGAGTTGTAGCTGGTGAACGATACAGCATAACTGTACAAGCATCAGACATTGGAAATTTATATTCACAAGCGATTGTTGAAGTCACAATTATACCCGGACCAAATACAAAGCCACCAAAGTTCATCAAAAATGTCTACGATGTTCAAGTTAGTGAAGGTGCTGACATAAATTCAACTGTTGCTGTTGTTAAGGCGGAAGATCCAGAAAGTGATCCAGTTCACTACACAATTGTTAGTGGAAATGACTTGAGGCAATTCTCAATTGGAACTGAAAGCGGTGTAATTAGTGTCATTCGTAAATTAGATCGAGAACAAATCACTCGATATCAATTGATTGTTCGTGCTGACGATAATGGCGGATTGTCGAGTTCAGCTACAATAAATATTCGTGTAACTGATATAAATGACAACAATCCAATATTCGATGAGTCAATGATGCCATTTAAGTTTGATGTTGAGGAAGGTAAGGCAAATCAGAGTGTTGGCGTTGTGCATGCACATGATATTGATGAAGGCGTTAATGCAGAGATTTCTTATTCATTGTCCGATGATATTCCATTTACAATTGATAAGAAGACGGGTGAGATAAGAACAAAAGTGGAACTAGACTATGAGAAAATCAAGGATTATAAATTTGTTGTTACGGCTAAGGATAGTGCACCGGACTCGAGACTTGGAACTGCTAGTGTCACTGTGAATATAAAGGATGTACCAGATGAGGTTCCAAAATTCACAGAAGCTTTAATTGAAGTAAAAATTCCAGAAAATGCACCGGATATGACTATTGCTACAGTTGTGGCTAAGGATCCAGACACGAAACCTGAAATCACTTATGTCCTTAAAAATGGACCTTCCGAACACTTTAAAATTGATCCAAAAACTGGAGTCATCAGAACAGTTAAAGGCTTAGATTATGAAGAAGAGAAAATGATTGAAATTATAGTCGGAACTGCTGAAAATCCAGGTCGTGGAGCAGGTGACATTGTTAAAATTAAAGTCAATGTTGAAGACCGAAATGACAATCCACCGGTATTTATTTCCATTCCTGAATCAGTCACTATCAATGATGATCTTCCAATTGGCTCAAAAGTCGGTGCAATGCCAGCAGTTGACGGTGATGGAACGTCACCAAGTAACTCAATTCGCTATGAAATTGTTGGACGTGGTAAGGCACAGAAATATTTCCAAGTCGATTCTGATACCGGCGACATTCTCTTGCGTGATGAATTGAAGAAAGAGGAAGACACCGAATATCAAGTGGATGTACGTGCTTTTGACTTAGGCGAGCCACAATTGAGTTCCGTATCATCATTGCCGATTTATGTCAAGCATGTTTTAAGCGATCCGATTCTTGAATTTACCGAGCCACGTACAGACACTTCACCAATAATGAACCCAGAGTCAGTTGGATTGGCATTCAGCGACGATGTTTATACGATCAGTGTGCCAGAGACTACTGGAATTAACTCTACATTAAAGCTCCTTCAAATCATTAACAGTAAGAAGGCAACGAAAAATCGTGGCGGCTTTAAATGTGAAATAACAAATGGAAATGAATGGAATCTATTTAAGACAAATATTGAAGATCACTCATGCGGTCTCGTATTGATAAATTCATTAGACTATGAAAACAAGACGAGTCATGAAATTGGCATTAAATTAACATCCACAAAGTACCTTGTCAATCCACAAAAGAGCTTCTGTCATGTTAAAATCATTGTTCAAGATCAAAATGATAATGCGCCAGTCTTCAAGTTTCCAAGTACCAATCGTAATGCACGAAATGATACATTCTATGGTATCGTAAGTGTCGATACTGATATTGATACGCCAATCATGACGATTAAGGCAAATGATGCTGACTCAGGTGTTTATGGTTCGCTCAAATATCAAATTTATGACGAAGATGAATTCAATTACATTTCAAAAGATGAGACACCAAGTTCATACTTTACAATAGCCGAAGATACGGGAATATTAAAGACACAAAAGGCACTCAACTCTCGTCGACATTCACAGCCATTCAAGTTCATTGTTGAAGTACGCGACAATAATGGCAATGAGACGATGCAAGGAGTGTCTGTTAATCTTGCAAAGGCACGCATTGTTATCAATACGATTAGTGATGCAAATCGGATGGCATTGGTGTTTGCTGACTCGAGTCCAAAGGAAGTGAGGAGACATGCGAGGGCATTGGAAGACTTGTTGTATGACAAGTCACCAAATTTATTGATTGAGATTGAAAAATTCAGCAACCGGAGGACACAACTGGCAAATGGATCGATTGTTGAACTTTCTGATGCTACGGATGTCTGGTTCTATGCAATTGATCCACAAACTGAAAATATACTTGAAAGGAACAACACAGAAATATTCTCAAATCTCATGGAGCCGTCAGCACAATCACAAATTAATTTAGAAGCATCAGGCATTGTTCATGCAACAGCACAAGGCATTACGGCACCGATTGAAGTTCCACATGTTCATCAACAAATTCCTATTAAGAGGCTTACTGCCGGTCTATTTCTAGACGAAGAAATCTTTCCATACGTTTTAATCTTCATCTCAGCTGTGATATTGATTTTAGGCACATCAGGCATCATTTATATCTGCATTTCATGGTCTCGTTATAAGAATTTCAAGCAACAAATGAGGAATTATACAGCACCAACAAACCCACCGCCACGCTACGATCCAGTTATTCTCAATTCACCGCCAAGTGAAGTGTCATTGACGAATCTCAAAGAATATGAAACACAAATGCTCGGCATGGCTGTGAATGAGGAACAAGAAGAAATGCAAATTGAGTATAGATCAAAACATCATACATTCGGTCTCGATAATATGAGTTATATAAAGGATCAAGGTCAATCGAGTCCAACAAATTCCGACACACCAACCGTTGTGATTGGAACTCTGCAGAGAAATAATCGCATTAATTTACTTAATAATATCAATCAAAAGCAACAGAACTCATTGAATAAGACGATTGAAATGAATCGGAATAATTATGCGAATCCGTTGAGTATTGATACTAATTTTAAAGCTGGAACGACACTGACGCTGGGTAGAATTAAGTCGGAGCGTAATCAAATTATTAATGGGTGAGTGATGGAGCTTTGGATGTGAATTTAATTTTATTAAGGATTTGAAAAAAAATTTAAACTTTTAAATTGTTCAAATTTTTCAATTTTGTCAACTTTATCAATTTTTTTCAAATTTGTCAAATTTTTTAAAATTTTTCAATTTTTCAATTTTTTCAAATTTTTATAAACTTTTTAAAAAATTCAATATTTAAAAATTTTTGAAATTATTTTAAAAAAATTTTGAAATTATTTTAAAATATTTTTTTAAATTTCTCAATTTCAACATATAACTCTACCCACAGCTACGATGACACGACACTAAATCGCAACAATTTATCGCTGGCTCCAAATAATACTTTTAGCACATTAGGTCGACCGAATCGATCGCAACATAATAATCTCGCGAACAATAATCATCATTCAACATTAAATCGAAACCATCGATATCATGCTGACTTACCAATCACAAATCCCATTTTTAAAAGGTAAGAACTATTTTTTTAAAAAAGATTTTTGTGCCAATTTAAATTTTGAATGTTTTTACTCACAAAAATTCAGACACCAAAGTTCAGAAATGCTCAATTGTGAATCAAATGACAACGTCTATTTCGGAGGAAATGGCAACAAACGAGCAATAGATCACTATGCGCACTTGGGCTATCCATACAACATTGATAGATCAGAACAAGAGACCACAACTGAGCTGTAAATTTAATTTATTATAAATTTTTTTATTATTCAAATCTCCTAAAAAATATTAATAAAATCGTGATAAATTAGATGTAAAGGAAATATAATAAATTTTATGTATACAATTGAAATTGAGCTCACATTACACATTGCAATGTGGCCAGATACAATCAAGTCATTAGTCTCATATATTCATAAGACAAATTTAAGAAAATACCAAGAAATTGAAATATGAAATGAATCGATTAGTTATTTTAAGAGAAATTAGAGTTATTAGCTTGTGCAAAATGGATGGACACTTTTAGAATTTTTTTATACAAATTTAATTTTTAAAGTTTTAAATTTTTTGAGTTTAAATATTATTTAGATTTGCAAAATTTATCTCAGTACGAAATCTTAGAATTACAAAAACGATTTCAACGATTTCAAAGATTTCAAAGATTTCAAAGATTTCAAAGATTTCAAAGATTTCAAAGATTTCAAAGATTTCAAAGATTTCAAAGATTTCAAAGATTTCAAAGATTTCAAAGATTTCAAAGATTTCAAAGATTTCAAAGATTTCAAAGATTTCAAAGATTTCAAAGATTTCAAAGATTTCAAAAATTTCAAAGATTTCAAAGATTTCAAAAATTTCAAAGATTTGAGTCCCTATTAAAATAACGAAACTTCAAAAATTCGAAACTTCATTTTACGAAGCTTCATTTTTCCGAACATACCAGTTTTCCGAAAAATTCTTCATGCAATTTCGTATGATTTTCAAATTTTAAAAAACCGTTGATTTTTTTAAGCATTTTATTTACGTTAAAAACAGTTAAAAATATATTTTACAGTTAATTTGACTTCTTATTTTGAAGAACAAAGCTGATTTAATTGTTTTTAATGTGAACAACCAGTTTTATTGTAGGAAACATTGGAAACTTGATGCACAGTAGATTCAACTGTTTTTAAGAACTTAAAAATCATATGAAATTGCATGAAGAATTTTTCGGAAAAATGAAGCTTCGTAAAAGTAAAGTTTCGTAATTTTAAAATTCGTTATTTTAATATGGATTCCAAAGATTTCAAAGATTTTAAAGTTTTCAAAGTGTTCATCTTAAAATCGTGTATTATACTTAGTATTATTTTGAATGTGTTTAAAGCTGAATGAAAATTAAATTTAAGGTTAATGAATTTTAATTTAAATTGAATCATAAACAAACTTTAGTGAAATAATCAAGCATTTTAATCATTTAAGATTTTTTAATTCATGTAAATTCATATTTAATAAAAACGATTAAAAGCAGAATGAAATGATATTTATTGAATCATTTATTTACAATTTAAGATATTGGAAGTAAACAAACATTCAAATCAACAGTATTAACTTCATTTTCACACGTTTCAGGACAGCAACATTGATCAAAATTCTGTTTCCAAATTTTATTTAATTTTAAAGTTTTCATAGCAAGTTGAACATTCGAGTTCCTCTACAAAATCATTCAACATTGGATGAATTTTCGCAAATTTAGATCTTTTGGTTTTTTGGCAACACAGTTTCTCCAGCATAAAAGCACCAAACGAAATCACACAAAACCCCAACCAAATATTAAATCCAAATAAAAGATCTTTCATACTTAACACTTTTGCATGTTCAACAATTTTCGTCAACTTTTTCCTCATCAAATGATTGTCAGTCAAGTACTTCATAATTCCTGTATCTATCAAACAATTGACAGTCTTATAAAGCATCCTAAAAGAAAATGATTGCTGCAAAAAGATGAAAACTTGATGAGAAACATAAATGTTTTTTAAATCAATTTGAGTCCATTTGTTGACTGACTTTTCGTCTAGTTCTTTTTGGAGCAATTCCTCAATAATTAAACACATTTTTGCTGAAGCATTTTGTGACTGAGTATTGTAGGAAGTAACGTAATCTATGTAATTTGGCTCGTAGAGTTTAGGCCTGCAAAGGATAATGATTCATTAGTTGCAGCACTGGACGGGAGTTAAATGCATGACTTTCTTACCATTTATCTTTTTCATCACTAATAAGAACTTCAAAAGAGTCTTTAAATAAAGTACTGATTGTATAATTGCGTGCCAAAAGATCCTCTAATGATTTCGGTGATGAACGTCGTGGCTCACTTGTCAGGAACTCAAATGATTTACTTTGAAAACAAGTTCGAAAAATTAAACAGAAAAAGATGAAAAGCATAAGAATGAATCTCGGAAAATGTCCAGTTGGAAGTTTGATTTGTGAGATTCCAAAAAATATGCTGATGACGTTTAACGTTGGAGAATTAATTTCGATACCATAGACAAAGTCTCTTGCATGTTCTGGTAGACAGTTAATAATTAAAATAGTGATGAAAGTTGTTGAAAATGTGAAAAAGATTAAGATCCAAGTAATGAAATCAAATGGCAAGAATAACTTCTCGTATGGAGTATAAACATCTCCTGGTGTCACAAATAGATTGTAGCTAATATCAGCAAAGACATTTGAAACTTTTAGACCTGGATGAATACTTAATTGCACTCCATTGACATCAAAACAGACATTTGGAGTTTTTATTGATTTATTAATAAATCTTGCGGTATTGAGTGCTGAATAATTAATATTCAGAATATAATCCTTATGGTCTACATTTAATGCAACATATTCATCCGAGAAGTTGAACTTTTTACCAGCAATATTGAATAAAGTCGGGATAATTCCACCTTTAGTAAATGACTGAGAATCTTCAGATTCGATGATAAGCTCTCCCCAATGGTATGAGTTAAGGTCAACGACCATAACATTTTTTCTTAATGGAAGCATCAAAACTAGTTCACATCCATTATAATTAAGAAATTTCTCATACGCTTTAAGTTTTATTCTCCACGTCATTAAATCTTTATCAAATAAGTTGAGTCTATCCAAAAATCCTATGTTGCATCCAATTACGAACCATTCGATTGTTGATAAGCTAATATATTCAGGTTCATTAAGAATAAAATAAGTATGATGATATATTGTTCCTGGATGGACTGTAAGTTCCTTATGTGCACCTATTAATGGATTATTGATAATATCTTCATATGATGACTCAGCAAAATATATGAAGTATTTAATTGGTTGATTATTGTATCGAATAAAATCAAATAATTCATAAATTTTGAGAATTGCGTCGACATTGTAAACTAAAAATAGTGCAGGAACTGTCATTAAACTAGGTTTTTCAAAATGATTATGCTTCTGATATTTTACTTTTATCAATTTATAAGAAAATTTCTCATAGTTTTCAGCTAGAATTCCATATAAAATTTCATATTGATCCATTGGAAACGGTTCCACAATAATAATATTAAATGGATCATCTTCTTTCACTAAATAAACATCAATAACATCCTTTAGCACTTGAATTATTGCAGGAAAATCTGGATTCAAAATTTGAAATTCATCTATTTCAATATCCAAGTAATTTAAACAAAATGCTGAGTAATGACTGATAAAAATTATTGAAAGTATTTTAAGGTTCAATTTCATCACTTTCTTCATTCACTCGCGACACTAAAATGAAATGGAAATGCAGTAAGAAATATTCTTTAGGTGAATCTGATAAAATTTATATTTTTTTTAATTGCAATAATTAGTGATAATTGAATTCCACTTAACTTGTTGTGGTAGTGTGGATCTAATCGTCTACAAAAATAGCAGTTTAGTTCTAAATTCTCTCACAAGTCAATGATCGGTTGGAAGTCTATGGAAGGAGGAATTCTTTTTAAGTCCAAAAATAACAGTCATTTTTTAAAAACAAATAAAAGCAAAGGTCGAAGCAATGGTTTGGAACTGAAGAATTACATTTTGATAATTTTTGATCAATTTAGATCATTTTCGATCATTTCTTCAGTACCACACCCTTGGGTTGAAGCCGACATGAGTTCGCTTCGGTTCGTTAAAAAATCAACTCAAATTTGAATAGAATTTTTTCTGCTGCCACTTGTGAAGTATAACATTTTATACAAATTTACCGGTTATCGAATCGGTTTTTTAGCGAACTGAAGCGAATTCATGTCGGTTTCGACCTCTGAATAAAATAAATCCAGCAAATTCTATTAATCTAGAGCTCTATACCGTTTTTTTTCCTTCTGCCGTCATTTCTGAACGATCCTCAATGAGGATCAAAAAGAGCAAAAGTGTCTTGATAGCTCAGTTGGCAAGGTACAGGTCGCAAAAGTTGGTGTTGAATTTAGACTCCCGGGTTCAAATCCCATGACTAGCCTAGTGATTTTTCAGAAGTTTAGACACTTCGGCTTCTTAGGTGCAGCAGTTTAAGCCGTAAAACTAAGAATTAGACGATGTGAGATGTAGGAACGGGTCAAGAATTATGTAGACAGAATGAGATAGATACCAGAACCTTAAATTCACAATGGATGACTACAATGGACTAACCAATGTCGTTAAAGTTGAAAATAATAAAGAATTTTGACTGCGTTGACATTTAGTTCTGACTTTTATTTAAATCTTTATTTTGAACTAACAGATTAGCAGCAGATTGAACTTCCTGTCTTGAAAACTGTGTTACTTGATGCTGAATTGAAATGTTCGTTGCTTTTTCACTCTCCGTGGAAACTTCTCGAACTTTGACTTTGAAGTTTTGAAAAGTTTGATTCAGAACTTTTAGCTTTTTTGCATTCTTAATCGGAAAGTTTTGTAGATAAGGATGAACTTTGGCGAACTTAAATAATCTAGGAGGTTTTACACGATCTGGTTTTTTAAGAAATTCAAAAAAGAAAGCAGCAATGGAAATGCCACAAAAACCCAACCAAATGATGAATCCAAATGAGAGATCATTAAGATCCAAAACTTTTCTAGATTCAATAATTTTTAGAAATTTCTTTTGCCTTAAATAATCTTCAGTCAAATGTTTTATAACTCCTGTATCTATAAGACTATTGACTGTCTTAAAAAGTATTCTGAAGGAAAATGAATGTTGATGGAAAATGAAAGCTTGGTGAGCAACGTAGATGTTTTCTAGTTCAATCTTATTCCACATAGGATTGACTTCTGCATCAAGTTCACTTTGGAGTAAATCCTCAATTATAAGGCACATCTTTGCTGAAGAGTTCTGCGATTGTGTTTTGTAGTACTTGATATAGTCCAAAAATTCAGGTTCAACAATCCGAGGCCTTAGATTTAATAATTTAATAAGTTAAATAAGCCTTTGAGTTATAAATTATCTTACCAATGTTCTTGTTCATTTACAATAATATTTTCAATTCCTTTCTTGAATAATGTGTAAATGGTGTAATTTTGTGCTACAAGATCTTCTAATGTTCTTGGTGGTGGACGTCTTGGCACGCTTGTTAAGAACCCAAAAGATTCACTTTGAAAGCAAGTCCGAAAAATCAAACAGAAAAAGACAAAAAGAATCAAAATGAATCTTGAGAAGTTCTCAGTTGGTAATTTGGCTTGTGCGATTCCAAAGAATATGCTGATGACATTTAATGACGGTGTGCAACTCTTACTGCCGTAGACAAAGTCTCGTGTAGATTTTGGCAAATGATTGATGATGAAAATTGTAATAAATGTTATCCCAAATGTAAGCAGTAAGAGAATCCATGTTGTGAGATCAAATGGCAGGAATAGCTTCTCATATGGAGTATAAGGATCACCGGGTGTCACAAAAAGTTTATACTTAACATCAGCGAATACATTTGACATTCTATGCATATATTCATTTTGTAATGTCAATCCTGCTATATCAAAATAAACATTTGGATCTAATATTGTTTTATTTAAGACCAATCCAGAGATAACTTTGTGGTCAAATTTCTTAATCCAATCTTTTTCGTATACCAGAATAGGAACATAAACATCAGCAAAATTAAACTTCTTACTAGCTATTTTAAATATTATTCGCGTGATTCCAAAGACAGTATATCCATCAGGGTTATTTTTATCAAGAATAGCATAACCCCAATAATATGAATTAAGATATGCTGGTCTTGTTACTGGAACCATCATTTTAAGTTCACATCCATTAAATTCGAGAAATTTCTCATAAGCTTGAAGCTTTCCAATCCATGTCATTGATTTCTTATCAAATAAATGAACTCTTGATATTTCAAGTTTATTGCATCCTTTTATAAACCATTCAAGTGTTGAAATACTAACAACTTCAGCCTCATCGCAGATGAAATAAGTATGGTAAAAAATTGTTCCAGGCATGATCGATAAACTTTGTAGATTTTGTATCAACCAAAAACTTCCAAATTTCTCAATTGTTGTTCCAGCAAAATAAATAAAATGTTTCATAACTTGATTCTGATATCTAAGTGCCAAAAAATATATAAATATATCCTCAAGTGAATTTTCATCGTAAACCAAAAATAAAACTGGATTTTCCAAATAAATTTTCGAATAATTGTTATTATATTTCAGGAGGTAGTATGAAAATTTTCCATTACTTCCTGCAAGAACAGCATTCAACATATCTAAATGGTCTAAAGGAAATGGTTCTAGTACAAAAATGTCAAATGGTGTGTTTTCGTTCACAAAATAGACATCAATAATATCTAGCAATACACACTCAAAAGCTGCAAAATTTGAATCCGGCTAGGTTATAAAATTATCAGCAAGATCCAAAAGCATTTCACAAAACAATAATTGCAATTTTTGGAACAAATAAAGGAGTAACAAGTTTACTTTCATAACTCTTTAATAAAAGATGGACTGTATTCGAAAACGTCCAGTTAATGTCTCTTAAATAGACAAAATTTATTAATTTAAAAGAAAAATCACGAAATTTCGTTTTACGTAGAGTGTAATTCAGAGGTCGAAGTTGGTGAAGTGAAGTCGTTTCACTTCACTTCACTTCACTAAAATTTCAATCGGTTTTAAGTCAGCTCGAGTGAACTCATTTTTTTCGTATTCACTCGAGTCGACTTTTAACCGAGTTGATTTTTTCGTGTTCACTCGAGTCGACTTTTAACCGAGTTGATATTTTCGTGTTCACTTTAGTCGACTTGAAACCGACTTGATTTTTTCGTGTTCACTCGAGTCGACTTTTAACCGAGTTGATTTTTTCATGTTCACTTTAGTCGACTTGAAACCGACTAGAGTTCACTAAGGAAAAAAAAAAATATTATAACAAACTGATTTCTGCTAGTGCTTGTGAAGTATATGTGATTACATACAAAATTGCAGAATTTGTCCTTTTTTACTTTTCATAACCATATAGCAAACTAAACGAATTAATTTAAAATATTTTTCAAACTTCCAGTTTATTATAATTCAAGTTTTAATTTTTTTTTTCATTATTTATGTTTGTACGTTGAAGAAATTTAACTCTATAAATAAGAAAAAAGTGTTACAGATCTAAATTTATTTTATTATTCTTGAAGATTAAATTTAAATGTATTATGCAGCACAATTTTTGTATCCTTTTTCCAGAGATCAAACAAATAAATCTGAAATTAAAATATATTTACCAAAATTGGAAATATGGTGTGAATTAAAATAAATTTTATTCATAATTGTAGCAGTTCGTAATAAATAATTTCAAATCAGAAAAATAATCTATAGTGCAAAACATTTATAAAATATATGAAATCTAAAAAATATTTTAAACTAATTCGTTTAGTTTGCTTTATGATTATGAGAAGTAAAAAAGGACAAATTCTGCAATTTTGTATGTAATCACATATACTTCACAAGCACTAGTAGAAATCAGTTTGTTATAATACATTTTTTTTTCCTTAGTGAACTCAAGTCGGTTTCAAGTCGACTAAAGTGAACATGAAAAAATCAACTCGGTTAAAAGTCGACTCGAGTGAACACGAAAAAATCAAGTCGGTTTCAAGTCGACTAAAGTGAACACGAAAATATCAACTCGGTTAAAAGTCGACTCGAGTGAACACGAAAAAATCAACTCGGTTAAAAGTCGACTCGAGTGAATACGAAAAAAATGAGTTCACTCGAGCTGACTTAAAACCGATTGAAATTTTAGTGAAGTGAAGTGAGTTTGCTTCATCGACTTCGACCTCTGGTGTAATTAACTTTAAAAACATGGGGGCTTGATAAAATGTTCTAGATAATTGTTACAGCTTTAGTGATGAAATCTTGACAACATGGATTTTTAATTCTGTTCAGCAAATCAGTTTGAAACATCTTCAAACTCTTAATTCTTTATTTTGGTTATTTAGAGAAATGGGAAAGATTTGTTTGTGTTTTTATAAAGTTCTTATACCGGATACACCTTTGCAAACTTAAATAGTCTTGAAGCATCTTCTTTAGGCTTATTTAATAATTCAACAAGAAAAGCTCCAAAAGATATGCAACAAAACGCTAACCATATGTTGAATCCAAATGAAAGATCATTAAAACTTAATTTTTTTGCTTCTTCTTCAAGTTTTATGAATTCTTTCTTCCTAAGATAATCGTCCGACAGATGCTTCATAATTCCTGTGTCTATAAGACTATTGACTGTCTTAAACATCATCCGGAAATAATATGATTGTTGCTGAAAAAAGAAGGCTTGATGAGACACAAAGATGTTTTCAAGTTCCAATGTATTCCAATTAGGATTTCCTTCTGCATTTAGTTCATTTCGAATCAAGTTTTCAATTATGAGGCAAATCTTGGCTGAAGAATTTTGTGATTGAGTTTTGTAAGAAGCTATGTATTCTGGAAATTTTGGTTCCTTAATTTGTGGCCTAGAAGTTAAAGTATTGAAATATTTATCACAATTTTTTTAAAGATCACGAAAATACTTACCAAATTTCCCTCTCATCTTTGATTACATTTTCAAACGCTTCTTTAAATAATGTTGAAATTGTATAGTTCTGTGCCACAATGTCCTCTAATGTCTTAGGAGGAGGACGTCGTGGTTCACTTGTCAAAAACTCAAAGGATTTACTTTGGAAACAAGTTCGAAAAATTAAGCAGAAAAAGACAAAAAGAATTAAAATGAATCTAGAAAAGTTTTCAGTTGGTAGTCTAGCTTGTGAGATTCCAAAGAATATGCTGATGACATTTAGTGTCGGTGTACAAATTTTACTGCCATAAACAAAGTTTCTTGCCGATTTTGCCAAACGATTGATGATGAAAATTGTAAGAAATGTTATTCCAAATGTAGCTGTCAGAAGAATCCAAGTAGTAAGATCAAAAGGCAGGAATAACTTCTCATATGGCGTGTAAAGATCTCCAGGTGTCACCAAAAGGTTGTATTTAACATCCTCAAATACATTTGATATTCTAAGCTTTGAAATATTATGCAAATGAACTCCTGTTATATCAAAGTACACACTTGGATCTTTGATTGTTTTGTTGATTCCAACCAGCATAACTTTGTTCAAATTGAAGTCCAGTATCAAATCTCTTTGATACACCATCGCAGGAGAGTATGCATCTATAAAGTTATACTTTTTTCCTGCTATTTTAAATATTTTTGGAGTTATACCTTGAACAGAGAATCCATTAGGAGCATTTGCATCTAGAACAGAAAATCCCCAATGATATGAATTTAGATTAACTTTAGGCAGTACAGGAAGCATCATTTTCAATTCACATCCATAAAATTCGAGAAATTTTTCATATTCCATAAGATTTCCGATCCATTTCATCTTTGCTTTATTAAAAAAGTGAAGTCTTGTTAATTGCTGCTTGTTACATGCTTCAAAGAAAAAGTCCAGAGTCGATATGCTGACTATATCAAGTTCATTGATGATGAAGTATGCATGATAAATAATTGATTTTAATGCCAATTTCAGTTTGTCATGAAATTCTATGACCCAAAAATTTTCAAGATGTTCAATCGTCGTGTGAGCAAAATAAATGAAATATTTGAAGGCTTGATTCTGATATCTGATTATTTCAAAGTATTCGGCGACTTTGATTAATGATTTTTCATCAGAAAGCAGTAATATTGCTGGATTCTTTAAAAAAATGTCTTCTTTGAAGTTACTGAATTTCATAATCTGATAAGTCAAAGTTCCATTAATTTTTACAAGAACTTGTATCAAAATATACAAATGTTCAGCAGGAAATGGCTCAATAATTACAATGTCGACTGGAGTTTTGTCTTCCAAAAAGTACGTTTCAATAATATCATGAAAAACACGCTCAATAGCAGGAAAATCAGGATCCGGTTTGGATATTAATTCATTCTCAAGATCCAAATATTTTTCACAAAAGATCAGTGGATAAACAAAAAGCAAAAGAAGCAGAATTCTAAACTTGATTCTCATAATTCTTTACTTAACTTTAAACAATAAGCAATACTGACTAATCCAACGACTTGCTGTTAAAGATAATCCATCAATTTTGAAGAAAACTCACGCGATTTCTGTGTTAAAAGATTAATCAAAAGAAAAACTGTTTTTTAACAAGCTTGTTTTTTAAGGATAATTAATTTTAATTGAGAGTCATATCTTAGTTGCTTGATTGTTCGAGAACTTATGTTGATAGAAACAATTCCCATGTGAATATTGAAAGATTTATGGGACCTTTATGGGATTTTACACTTTAACATGAGTAGTTTACCAATTTTCGATCTTTTGTCTAGCTTGAATCAACTGAACTAAAATTGTAAGTTGTCCTTGAACAAGTGTTGTTCTCTAACCTGATCATACAGATATTTGTACACGTAAGTGTAATTAATTTCAACAATTAAGTTTTATTGAGTGGGATCTAAACAACAAAATTATTTATATGATTGATGTTTGGTTCTGTTAAAAGAAATCAACTGACACATCTTCAATAGTTGATACTGTTGCTTCTTTTTGTTTCCTTATTTTGAACATTCGAGACGTTTTCGGCACAAGATTTTGTTTGTTATTAAGTTTTGCATATGGATAAACTTTTGCATATTTAAATAATCTTGGAGTTTTGTTATTTTGAAGATTTTTCATCAATTCTACAAGAAAAACTATAAAAGACATGGCACAGAATCCAAGCCATATATTGAATCCAAATGAAAGATCATTCAACTTCAAACTCATGGGAATTTCTTCAAGGACTATAAATTTCTTTTGCTTCAGATAGTCATCAGTCAAATGTTTCATAATTCCTGTATCTATAAGACTATTGATTGTTTTCATCATCATTCGAAAGTAAAACGATTTTTGATGGAAAACGACGGCTTGATGAGCAACAAAAATGTTTTCTAGCTCAATCTTATTCCATTTAGTAATTACTTTTGAATCTAGGACATTTTGAAGCAAATCCTCAATTATAAGGCAAATCTTTGCTGTAGAGTTTTGTGATTGAGTTTCATACATGGATATGTATTCTTTGAATTTAGGCTCGATTATTTGTGGCCTGTAATGAAAATATTAATGTTTATAGTTCTGGACATAAAATGATGATATTACCAATTATCCCTCTCATTTGATATAATACTTTCAAAAGAGGACCTAAATAATGTGTAAATTGTGTAATTTTGAGAAATAAGATCATTTAATGTTTTTGGCGGTGGACGTCTTGGTACATTCGTCAAAAACTCAAAAGATTTACTTTGAAAACAAGTTCGAAAAATCAGACAGAAAAAGACGAATAGAATCAGGATGAACCTTGAAAAGTTTTCAGTTGGTAGTCTCGCTTGTGAAACTCCAAAGAATATGCTGATGACATTTAATGACGGTGTACAAATTTTACTTCCATAGACAAAATTTCTTGCAGCTTTTGGCAAACGATTAATGATAAAAATTGTAAGAAATGTAATTCCAAATGTAGCTGTCAGAAGAATCCAAGTTGTAAGATCAAAAGGCAGGAATAACTTCTCATATGGCGTGTAAGGATCTCCTGGTGTTACAAATAATTTGTATTTAACATCCTCAAATACATTTGACATCCTCAAATCCAGTATGCTGTGCAAATGAGCTCCAGTAATATCAAAATAAACATTTGGATATTTTATTGTATCATTTATGGCAATAAGCAAAACTGTTTCTCTCGATTCAAATTTGAAAATCCAATCTCTTTCAAATATCATTGCTGGACAGTAAGAATCTTTAAAGTTATACTTTTCTCCTGCTATTTTGAATATTTTTGGTGTTATGCCTTGAACAGAGAATCCATTAGGTGCATTTGCATCCAGAATAGAAAATCCCCAATGATATGAATTAAGGTTGAAGTCATTGAACACAGGAAGCATCATTGTCAATTCACATCCATTATAGTCGAAAAATTTTTCATATGCCTTAAAATTTCCGATCCATTTCATAGATGTCTTATTAAAGGAGTGAATTCTTACTAATTGTTGCCGGTTGCATACTTTCAAGAAATATTCTAGTGTCGATATGCTGACTATATCAGGTTCATTAATGATGAAGTATGAATAATAAAAAACTGCTCCCACTCCCAATTCCAAAGTCAAGTTTTTGTGGAATTTTATAAGAAAATGATCACGAACACTTTCAAATGATGTTTCAACAATGAAAACAAAATATTTTAATTCCTGGTTATAATATCTGATCATTTTAAAGATTATGAACATGTCTGCAAATGAACTTTCATTAGGAATCAGAAGTATTGCTGGATATTTTGAAAAGAAATGTTTTCTAAAGCGATTGAATTTTACAAGTTTGTAAGGTAAGGAATCATTAATTCTTGCGAGAAGTTTATCGAAAAAATGTAAGTAATCAATAGGAAATGGCTCTAGAATAAAAATGTCTAATGGAGATTTGTCCTTCAAAATGTATGTATCAATAATGGCACGAAAAACAGACTCAAAAGCTGGAAAATCAGGATCCGGTTTGGATATTACTTCATTGTCAAGCTCCAAAACTGTTTCACAATTGATCAGTCGATAATCACCAAGCAAAAAAAGCAAAATTAAAAAGTTGACTCTCATAATTCTTTACTTAACGAATGACATTAAAAAAATAAGAGATACTGACTAATTCAGCGGCTTACTGTTAAAGATAATCTATTGATTTCAAAGAAAACTCACGCGATTCCTGTGTCAAAAGATTGATCTAAAGAAAAACTATCTTTGAACAAGCTTGTTTTTCAAGGATAATTACCTTTAATTGTGAAGCTGTTCTTGATTGCTATTCGAATATTTGTGATGAACGCATTTTATTAACTCACGACCTTACCTTATAATCAACAGTATTAACAACAAACTTGTTCTTCAAAGTCTATACATTTAATATATTTTTAATTTTTTTTCTCACTGCCCCCTGCTATTGGATAAATCTTTGCAACGGCTAGAAAAAATTTGAAATTATAGAGGTAGCGTTGAAATTATAAAGGTAGTCAGAAAACTTGAACAGGTTGCACTGTATTGAAATAAAAAATCATTAATTATAGTATAAATTTATGTTTCAAGCTTTCAAACAAATCGATACTAGGATAACACGAAGAAACTGAGCTATTAAAATAAACCCGTGCTCCTTACGACGTCTGGTTAAGGAGATCTAAATTCCCAGCCGAGCGAACAACCGAACAAAACTGTTACAATTTACGAGTGAAATGTCTGATCAACTGATAAACAAAAATATAAATAAGTTTTTTAGCACATTTTTGAAACTTGTTTCTAAAAGGTAGCTTAATATCTCACTATGTCTGTTCGTTCGGGCCGAGAAAAACTTTTTAACTAGACATCGTAGAGAGTTCTAGTTTATTTTATTAGCTCAGGTCCATTATTTCATTTTCGGGAAACGCATTTAAAAGTCTTGAAACAGTGTTTTTGTACTATAATTAATGCTTTTACTCTAACTTTTGGCAAGATACTTTCAAATGCATACGACCGTTACAAAATTTGAACTTCAGAAAATCGTTAAATGATAAACAATTTATATGGGATAAATGAAAGATAAACTAAATTGATAAATATACTATAATTAATGATTTTTTGTATATCTTTTGGCGGGAAGCTATCAAAAACTTACTGACCGTTAGCAAATTTGAATCTCAAATAATCGTTAAATGATAATCTAATGTTTTCGTAGAGCAACTTTTAGCGGGAAAAATTTCAAATTATTTTTTGACCGTTAAATAACAAAGCCTTTCTATATAAGCATTCATTGTAATTATTTGCTAATTGCACTAAAATTAATGATCTTCTCAGGGATCTTCTAATCTTCTAATGAACTGTAAATGAACGCAAAATAAATAGATAATCAACTACTGATCGCTAACACAAAAATGCGCTTAAGTCCCTCGATCAATAACACGAGGACTTCTGTAATTTTTTTCAGAGGGGTTGACATGAACATTTTTAGGGGAGGGGTTTAATGTTGTTCCTTAGTCAACAAACTTCTGTTCAACTGAAGCATAAGATGACGATTTTAAAGGATGCGCCAGAGTCAACATCGTTTTCAACAAGACAATTTATCACATCTTTTTAAATCAGTGATGGCCTTAATGGTAAGCAATAACCAAAACTACACACAACATACGGGTCACTACTGGTGTGCCGTGCCACATGAATTGACCATCACTGTTTTAAATGCTTCTATATTTTAGATTTAGAACTTTATTCTAAAATAATCTGATTCAATTCATTTTTTAAAATTTCCATTTTTTTCTTAATTTTAAATTGTTCATAAACTAGCTTGTCAGAATTTTCGAGGGACATGCATGAAATATTTGCATCGTTATTAAACTCACTTGGATAAATTTTCCTAAATTTTAACTTTCTCGACGTTTTTTGTTCCTTTTTTGGATGAATTATCAGTTCGAATATAAAAGTGAATAACGATAAGAAGCAAAATCCTAGCCAAATATTGAATCCATATGACAGCTCATCGATGCCCAAAACTTTAACAGTCTCCACAACTTTTAGTGCTCTTTTTCGTCTTAAATGATCATCTACTAAGTGCTTCATGATTCCTGTGTCTATAAGACTATTAACTGTTTTGTATATCATTCGAAAATAAAAGGCATGTTGATGAACAACTACTCCTTGATGTAAAACTATTATATTAGCAAGATCGATGCGATTCCAATGAACATTTATAGTTGCGTCCCAATCACTTTGTACTATTTCATCCATTAATAAGCAAAGTTTTGCTGATGAGTTTTCTGATTGTGTGCTGTAGAGATAACTAAGTTCATTGAGCGGACTGTATTTAATTTTTGGCCTAGATTGTAAAATGAGAAGCAAATTATAAGAACAATCTGTAATCATCAGAATCATAAAAGGTCAGATAAGAACATCAGATTATAATTTAGATCTTTAAGGTAGCACAATGCACTTTTTGTTGATGCTTAAGAACGTGTTAACAGCCAAGCTTTAGTAATTATGGATTCAAATGAAATCTATGGAAATAAAAGCATTGAAAATTGACATTTACCATTTATCCAAGTCTTCTCTTAATAAAAATTCAAACTTTTCTTTATTTATTGTTCGAATTGTGTAGTTCCGTTCCAAAAGATCACTAACTGATCGTGGTGGAGATTTTCTTGGTTCACTAGTTAAGAACTCAAAGGATTTACTTTGGAAACAAGTTCGAAAAATCAAACAGAAAAAGACAAAAAGAATTAAAATTGATCTTGAAAAGTTTCCCGTTGGTAATCTAGCTTGTGAGATTCCAAAGAATATGCTGATGACATTTAGTGTTGGAGTGTAGATCTCACTTCCATAAACAAAGTCTCGTGCTAATTTTGGCAAATGATTGATGATAAAAATTGTAATAAAAGTTATTCCAAATGTAGCTACAAGTAAAATCCAAGTTGTAAGATCAAAAGGAAGAAACAGCTTCTCATACGGTGAATAAGGATCTGCTGGTGTCACAAGAATTTTAAAATGAAGATCAGCAAACACTTGAGATATACGATTGTGATCACGTATGATGGATTGTATGTTATCAATGTCAAAATATACATTTGGCATTTTAAAAGTTGTTTTATTAGTTCGACCAACGAAAGCATTTTGAAGTTTAAAACTGTTCATAAACCTTTGTTCATTTGTTCCAACAGGACTGTAAGTATCTATAAAGTTGTACTTTTGTGCCGCAATTTTAAATATTTTTGGCAAAATGCCTTTTATAATAAAACTCTCATCTTTTTTAATTATTGAATATCCCCAATGGTAAGTGTTGAGACCAAATGATTGCTTATATGGCAACATTAACGTTAATTCACATCCTTCATAGTTTAGAAACTTTTCATATTGATAAAGTGGAAATTTCCATTGCAATGATTCCTTTACAAATGAAAATAATCTCGTTATGTATGGCTTATTGCAGGTTGTAAAGAACCATTCAAAAGTTGAGATGCTGATTATGTCTTCCTCATTAGTAATGAAGTATGCATGATGAAGCGTTGATCCTAATGACAGTTTTAAAGAAGGAAAGTCAATAAATAGATCGAAATCATATAAATCATCAATAGACAAATCTGCGCAATAGATGAATATTTTAAATGCATGATCTTGGAATCTCTGAGTCAAAAATCATTTATAAGTTTCATTTAATTCTTGCAATCGTGAAATCACTAAAATTGTTGGACGATCAAATTCAAAACATGTTTCAGCTGTAAAGTTGGTGATAAGCATTGATCTGTAGGAAAATTCATCATTATTCTTGGCTAAAATTTCATTAATAATCGAATGATGCTTATCTGGAACTGGCTCATAAATATAAATATCGAATGAAGAATGATCTTTAACAAAATAAACATTAATTATGTCCAAAAGAACTTGTACACTAGCATTAAAATCAGGAAAAGGTTCGTTTGTCAATTCGATAAAGTCATCGAAATGCAAACAAAAGATTGTTTTGAGGATCGCAAGCAGTAAAGGCCACGTCAACATTTTACTATTGAATATCATCACTCTGAATCCAATGACTAATATTTTCCAAATAAAACTTTGGGGACAAGCTTAGCTGAATACAAAAGGATAGTTGTTAGAATCTCTACATTTTGTGAGTGTTAACTATTTATCCACTTATCGATATGATGTATCAGAATAGAAATAAAAACAATTTTTGAAGGTTTTTCAAGGTTTCGCTTTAATTATTTTGTTAACAATTTATGTTTAAATTAATTAAGTTCAAGATGGAAATTATTATTATCAGTCTCTAGGGTTGGCGAACAGAAATGTTACCATTAAACTGGAAAAAAATTTGAATCGACACTAACACTTTCAAACCTTTTTAAAAAATAAACATTGAATTTGTTTTTTAAAAATTAGCTAGCATCCATTATAGTTGAGAAACTTTTCATATAATTTATGTTCTTTGGTCCTTACAAACCATTCAAGTGTCGTGATGCTCACAACTTCAGCAATATTAAAGATAAAATAAGAGTGATGAAAAATTGTTCCAGGCTCGATTGTTAAATTTTTGTGAATTCGTATTAGCCAAAAACATTCAACATTTTTAAAGGTTGAGTCCGCAAAGTAAATAAAATATTTCATTGCTTGATTCTGATATCTGACGGCTGCAAACCTTTTAAATATTTCAACTAGGGAATTTTCGTCAGAAACATAGAAAATTGCTGGATTATCTAAGAAATGGCTTGAATCACAATTAAAACTTTTAAGATGAAGAGAAAACTTTCCATCACTTTCTGCAAGAACAATGTTCAAAATTTCAATTTTGTCAATCGGGAAAGGTTCAATTATAAAAATATCAAATGGAGTGTTTTCCTCTACAAAATAGACATTGATGATGTCTTGCAACACCTGAGCAATTGCAGGAAAATCTGGATCTGGCTACAATATAACATCATTTGTAAGATCCAAAATTGTCTCACACAAAATCAATTGCAATTCTTTTGATAAAAAGAATAATACGAAGAAGTTTATTCTCATAATTCCTGCATTGAAGCTTTACAGTAAAATAATAAGAAATTTTGAATTCATTAATGATTTTTTTATCATAAAATTGTATCCTTCAAAAAAAACTTTCACGCCATTCCTGAATTAAAAGATTGATCAAAAGAAAAACAAGCATGTTTAATTAATTTTATTTGATGTGATGTTAAAAACATCTTCATGTTTAAAGATTTGAATGATCCTTAGAAATAAAACTAATATTTTAACAAGCTTCAATTGGCTGAATGTCTTTTTGAAATATCTTAACAATTAACTCTAAGAGGATGAACCTTTGCAAACTTGAAAACTTTAGGAGCTTTATCTTTTTTGACTTTTTTCATTATCTCAACAAAAAATATAATAAAAGACATGCCACAAAATCCTAGCCAAATGTTGAATCCATATGAAAGATCATTCAACTTCAAACTCTCAGGAGTTTCTTTAAGGACAATAAATTTTTTTTGTCTCAGATAGTCATCAGTCAGATGCTTCATAATTCCTGTATCTATAAGACTATTGACCGTCTTAAACATCATTCTAAAGTAAAATGAATGCTGATGAAAAATGAAGGCTTGATGAGAAATGAAAATGTTCTCTAATTCGATTTTATTCCATTTTGGGTGGACATATGCATCGAGTTCATCTTGTAGCAAATCTTCAATTATCAAACACATCTTAGCAAATGAATTCTGTGAATAAAATTTATAGTAATTGATGTATTCGTTGAATTCAGGTTCCTTAATTTCTGGCCTATAAATTGAATTGAAAATTGTTCTTTACAACATTCCAAATAAATAAATAAATTCTGCTTACCAATTGCTCCTTTCATCTTCGATAATTTTTTCAAACGGATCCTTGAATAATGTGTAGATTGTGTAATTTTGTGCCACAAGGTCCTCTAAAGTCTTTGGAGGAGGACGGCGTGGCACACTTGTCAAAAATTCAAAAGATTTACTTTGAAAGCAAGTTCGAAAAATTAAGCAGAAAAAGACAAAAAGAATTAAAATTAATCTGGAGAAGTTTTCAGTTGGTAACTTGGCTTGTGAGACTCCAAAGAATATACTGATGACATTCAGTGTTGGTGTACAAATTTCACTTCCATAGACAAAATCTCGTGCGGATTTTGGTAAACGATTGACAATAAAAATGGTTAAAAAAGTTACTCCAAATGTAGCAATTAATAGAATCCAGGTTGTTAAATCAAATGGCAGGAATAGCTTCTCATATGGTGTGTATGGATCACCAGGAGTCACAAAAATATTGTATTTAATGTCAATAAATGCATTTGACATTTTATGCAAATATTTACGTTGTAACATAACTCCTGTTATATCAAAATATACATTTGGATCTGTAATTGTTTTATTTATGCCTACAGCAGTGGCTTCTTCGTGGTCAAAATTCATAACCCAATCCTCTTTATCTATCTTGACAGGAGCATATTCATCTCTAAAGTTATACTTCTCACCAGCTATTTTAAATATTATTGGCGTGATTCCAGTGGGAGTAAATCCATCAGGGGCATTTTTATCCAGGACAGCATATCCCCAATGATATGAATTGAGATGTGTTTGTCTGCTTATTGGTAACATCATTTTAAGTTCACATCCATTATATTCAAGAAATTTTTCATATGCTTGAAGCTTTCCAATCCATTCCATTGATTGTTTATGAAATGAATGAATTTTCGTCAAATGCATTTTATTGCATTCTTTGACAAACCATTCAATTGTATAAATGCTAACAGCTTCGGGCTCATTAATGATAAAATATGAGTGATATAAAATTGTTCCGGGTTGAATTGTTAATTTTTTATGTTCCCGTATTAACCAAAAACATTCGACTCTCTCGAATGTTGTATCCGCAAAATAAATAAAGTACTTTATTGCTTGATTCTGATATCTAACTGCTGCAAAATTGCTGAATATGTCTAAAAGAGTTTTTTCATCAGAAACTAAGAATATGGCTGGAATATTTAAAAACATTGCTGATATAATTAAATTGAAATTCACAATGTTGTAGGAATAATGTCCATAGTTTGTTGAAAGAATAGTTTCTAGAATATCTAAATGTTCAACTGGAAAATGATCAAGAATTAAAATATCAAATGGAGTCTTTTCCTTCACAAAATAGACGTCAATGATGTCTTGCAACACCTGAGCAATTGCTGGAAAATCTGGATCCGGCTAAGTAATTACTTCATTTTGGAGATCAAAATATGTTTCACACAAAACTAATTGCAAGTTTTTAAATAAAATGAGCGCAATCAAAAAGTTTATTCTCATAATTCTTGATTTAGAGCTTGAGAGTAAGAGAATAAAAAACATTTTCCAAACCAATTGCTTTTAAAGATAAAGCATAGCTCAAAAAGAAAAGTCACGCAGTTTTTGTGTCAAAGGATTAATCAAACAATCAAAAAACAAGATTGTTTTCTGTTTTAATTAGAATACAATCAACTTTAACTGATGTGATGTTAACAACACCCACATTCGATGATTCAGAGATCGTTTGGAATCGAACAAACATCTTATAAAGCCTTGAACAAAACATGAAGTCAAAAAGCTTCAATCAATTAATTATTGATGCATCGTTGATTTTTAAACTTATCAAATACTGTTTAGCAAATCAATTGACACATCTTCAATAGCTGTTTCAAAATGGAGCTTCATTTGACTAACCGCCTTATTTGCAAGTTTTTTCTTAACTCTAAACAGTTCATGCATTTTTAATTTAGAACTTTTGAGAACTACTCTTATGATTTCAACATCTTTACTTGGATGTATTTTTTCAAACTTGATCTTCTTTTTGTGTTTTTCAATTTTTTTCCGTGATGAATATTTAATTTCTAAAAAGAATGCAAAAACTGAAATGCAGCAACAAACCAGCCAAATATTAAATCCGTACAAAAGATCAATAAAGCTTAAAACTCTTCTTTGCTCTTCAAACTTGATTAATTTGTTCAGTCTCAAATGATTATCAACCAAATGTTTCATGATTCCTGTGTCTATAAGACTATTAACTGTTTTGTAAATCATACGGAAATAGAATGCATGTTGATGAACAACTACTCCTTGATGCAAAACTATTATATTTGCGACATCAATCTGTGCCCAGTTGTCTTCTACATCTTCATTCCATTCACTTTGAATTATTTCGTCTAAGATTAGACAAAGTTTTGCTGAAGAGTTCTGTGATTGCGTGCTGTATAGATATTTTAAATCAGTGAAAGAACTGTTATCAATTTTTGGCCTGGTAAGAAACAACAAATAAAGTAAAAATATTGACAAAGAAAAGTTTGAGCCTACCATCTATCCAAATCATCCCTTAGAATCGATTCAATATTTTCTTTTCGTAATGTTTTTATTGTGTAATTCCGTTCCAAAAGATCACTTACTGATCGAGGTGGAGATTTTCTTGGTTCACTAGTTAAGAATTCAAAGGATTTACTTTGGAAACAAGTGCGAAAAATCAAACAGAAAAAGACAAAAAGAATTAAAATTGATCTTGAAAAGTTTCCGGTTGGAAGTCTAGCTTGTGAGATTCCAAAGAATATGCTGATGACATTTAAAGTTGGTGTACAAATTTCACTTCCATAGACAAAGTCTCGCGCTAATTTTGGCAAATGATTGATAATGAAAATTGTAACAAAAGTTATTCCAAATGTGGCTACAAGTAAAAGCCAAGTTGTGATATCGAATGGCAGGAAAAGCTTCTCATACGGTGAATAAGGATCTGCTGGTGTTACAAGAATTTTAAACTTGAGGTCCAAAAACACATGAGTCATTCGAATATGATTGAGTCCAAGAAGTTGTTCGTCATCGATATCAAAATAAACATTTGGTATTTGGAAGGATTCTACAGCACGTATATGTCGAAGAGTAAAGTTCTCAATAAAATGATCCACAAGTGATTCAACAGGGCTGTAATCATCTATAAAATTATATTTTTGTGCTGCTATCTGAAATATGATTGGTGTTACTCCACAAACCTTAATCCTGTTATTTTCCAATTTTGGATGTCCCCAATGATACGGATTAAGGACAGATGATTTCATAAATGGAAGCATCAATATTAATTTACATCCATTAAAGTTTAAAAACTTTTCATAAAGATAAAGTTCATTAATCCATGACATCGATACTTTTGAGAACTCAAATATTTTCGTCAATTTAGGACGATTGCAAGTGAATTGAAACCACTCGATAGTTGAGATGCTTATTGAATATCCATCATTAGTAATAAAGTATGCATGTTCAAAAATTGATCCTGGTTTGAAAATTAATGGATATTTTATAATTGGTTCAAAATGATCTAAATTTTGAAAAGTCAAATCTGAACAATAAATGAAGATTTTAAATGTTTGTTCTTGATATCTTTGAGCTTCAAATCTTATATATACTTCAAACAACTCTTCCAATCTTGAAACCACAATTATTGTTGAACGATTTAGTTTAAAGTTCTGTTAAGATTCATAAACTGTGATCAGCTTTAATTTCCACGAAAATGTTCCATTGTTCATAGAAAGAACTTTATTTATAGTCAAATGATGCTCAATTGGGACTGGTTCATGGATATAAATATCAAATGTTGCATTATTATTCACAAAATAAACATTAATTATGTCTAAAAGAACTTTCACGCACGAATTCAAATCTAAATCTGGTTTAATTATTAATTTTTCTAAATTTTTACAGAATCCTGTCTTCATAGTCACAGACAAAAAAGAAATCACGAAAATATCTTTAAATATTAACTTCATCGCTAATTATTTTTGTAGATTAAATTGGATTTAATGAACAAAGTTTGAAGTTTACTCAAACTTATTAACTGGAGAGTTGGTAAGAACTTATTTTAGCTTGATGTAGATGACACAAATGCTCCATAAAGTGTCAAAAAATCTTTTTCATTAAATAAAACCTTTTGTTCGAGATAATTATCATGTACGATTATATCAAAAGATGATAATTAAAAAAAAACATCATTTTCAACCTTCATTTCGTACTGAACATTGTAGGATATTCTTAGCTTTGTTATGAAATATTCATGCAACACATTTTTAAAGATAATATGCAAGAATTAATCTAGAATAATCTAGAACAATTTTAATTGAACTCATTAAGATTAATCTTCAAGGATATGTCCGGAGCTTCACGACTGCAGTTTGCTCTTTGAATTTCCATATCCTGTTTTGTATCATGTATATTAGTTCCTTCAATTAAGGCTGGTTTTTTTAAGATTTTAAAACTTTTATAAACTTCAGGCTTAACCTCTTTAAACTTTGAATCTTGACAAGAACTATCATTTATTATAGGATGTACTTTTGCAAACTTGAAAAGTCTAGGAACTTTTTCTTTTTTAAGCTTTTTCATCGTTTCAACAAAAAATAAAATAAGAGACATGCCACAAAATCCTAGCCATATATTGAATCCAAATGAAAGATCATTCAAACTCAAACTCTTGGGAATTTCTTCAAGGACTATAAATTTCTTTTGCTTCAGATAGTTATCAGTCAGATGCTTCATAATTCCTGTATCTATAAGACTATTGACCGTCTTAAACATCATTCTAAAGTAAAATGAATGCTGATGAAAAATTAAGGCTTGATGAGAAATGAAAATGTTCTCTAATTCGATTTTATTCCATTTTGGGTGGACATATGCATCGAGTTCATCTTGCAGCAACTCTTCAATTATCAAGCACATCTTGGCTGATGAATTTTGTGATTGAGTTTTATAGTAATTGATGTATTCGTTGAATTCAGGTTCCTTAATTTCTGGCCTATAAATTCAATTCAAAATTGTTCTTTGCAATATTCCAAACAAATAAATTTTTTGTGCTTACCAATTGCTTCTTTCATCTTCGATAATCTTTTCAAAGGAATCCTTAAATAAAGTGTAAGCAGTGAAATTTTGTACCACAAGGTCCTCTAATGTCTTTGCAGGAGGACGTCGTGGCTCACTTGTCAAGAACTCAAAAGATTTACTTTGAAAACAAGTTCGAAAAATCAAACAAAAATAGATAAAAAGGATCAAAATGAATCTTGAAAAGTTTTCAGTTGGCAACCTAGCTTGTGAGATTCCAAAGAATATGCTGATGACATTCAGGGTTGGTGTTTCGATTTTTCTTCCATAAACAAAATTCCTTGCAGACCTTGGTAAATGATTAATGATGAAAATTGTAATAAAAGTTATTCCAAAAGTAGAAACTAAAAGAATCCAGGTTGTTAGATCAAATGGCAGGAATAGCTTCTCATATGGTGAGTAAGGATCTCCAGGAGTCACAAAGAGATTGTATTTAATGTCAAAAAATGCATTTGACATTCTGAATGTTGAAAGATTGTTTAAATGAACTCCAGTAATATCAAAATATACATTTGCATCTTTTGGAGTTTCATTTATTCCATAGTATATGAAAGTGCTCATATTAAAGTTCATAATCCAATCTCTTTCATACACTATTGCCGGTGCATATTCATCCTTAAAGTTATATTTTTCTCCTGCTAATTTGAATATTATTGGTGTGATTCCAAGGACTTCAAATTGATTGGAATCAACATCTGCATACCCCCAATGGTATGAATTAAGATATCGTAAATCTATTGTTGGAAGCATCATTATTAATTCACATCCATTAAAGTCTAGAAATTTCTCATAAGCTTTTAACTTTCCAACCCATTTCATCGATGCTTTGTCATAAAAATGAATTCTTGTCATCTTACGCTTGTTACACTCACCATTAAAATATTCTAGGGTCGATATGGTGATTGCGTCTGGTTCATTGATGATGAAATATGAATGATGAAAAATTGTCCCTAGTTCTAAAGTTAAGTTGTAATGCAATTGTATGATTGGAAACTCGTCAACATTTTGGAACGAAGTGTTAGCAAAGTAGATGAAATATTTAAATTCCTGGTTTTGATACCTGATTATTTCAAAGGATCTAAAGACTTCTAAAAGTGTATTTTTATCAGAAAGCAGAAGAATTGCTGGATGTTTCAAATAAATGCTTTGTTTGTAGCTAGTAAACTTCACCAGCTGATAAGGCAAAGTTCCATTAATATTTGCAAGAATCTTATCCAAAATATTTAAATGTTCAGCTGGAAAAGGTTCTAGAATCAAAATATCTAATGGAGTTTTATTTACTACAAAATAGACATCAAAGATGTCATGCAATGCATTCTAAATAGCTGTAATATCTAGGATAGTTTTAGGTTTATTTTCATCAACATGATGCAAATCCGTTCTGCACAACTTCAAATGAAATTCACAAATCAAATAGATTAAAACTGACAAGCTTAATCTCATAGTTCTTGGCTTAGGAACTGACAGTAAAACAATGAAAATTTTCGAACGACTCATGAGACAGTCTAGAAAAATCATAGAACATTAAACTTTTCATTAAAATTTGTAGTGTTAAATATTAAATTGACATAATTAAGGTTACATGCTTGTTATCTGAGCATAGAATCACATAATAATTTTCATAAATGATTAATATGACTGTCGATCAAGAGGTTCTCTATCAAATTAAAAATACTGAAATATTAAGATCAGTGGATGACTAAGTAAGACTTGTAAGAGCCTTATAACTGTTTATAAGTGATGTTTATGGCAGAAATTCTTAAAATATACTCTGCGTCTGATTTGAGAGAAAAAAAATAGTTGCCCTGGCAGTAGCGTGGTAATAAGTGTTTAGCCTAAACTTAATTACTCCATTATTAATGTAAACAGTAAATTCAACTTTCAAAAGAATGCTCAACAATAGGATTAAATGACTTAGACATACACAAAGATTCGATAGTAAAAATAACAACTGACAATCCACAAAGTCCAATCCATATTATAAATATCGTTGAAAGTTCATTAAAATCTAAAACCTTAGCTTCTTTTTTAACTTTAACAAAATGATTTGTTCCAAGATGAATGATAATAAGGTGATTTATAATCCCCGTGTCGATCAGACTATTTATAGTTTTATGAAGCATTCTGAAGGAAAATGAATGTTGATGAAAAGCATATCCGATTTGGAAAACGACCATTTCATTCAATACCAAATGTTTCCATTTTACTCGACTCTTATGTTGCAAACTTCGATAGTATATCTCGTCTACTAATAAAGCAATCTTTTCTGAATTATCTTTCGAATATTTGCTATAAAAGTTGTTCATTTCGTATGCTGTAATGTTTTCGATTTTTGGCCTGGTTGAAGAAAGAGAAGAGCTGTTTTTGAGTTCGGTACAAAAAGGATTTGCTTAATAATTTCACACTCACCAATTTTTCAAATTTTTCCAAATAACATTCAACATTTCTTCTCTAAAGAGCGTCTTAACTGTAAAATCTTCTCTGACAAGATCCTCTAATGAATTTATTGGTATTGAATCTGGCTCAAGTGTTAAGAACGAATATGATATATTTTGGTATAAAATGCGAAATTGCAGATAGAACAATGTAGAAAAGAGAAGTAGAATTTTAATAGATTTCCAACTGGAAACTTTGATATTTAATATTCCAAAAAACAAGCAAGCACCATCCAACTGGAACTGATGTTTGATGTAAATAACTTTAAACATCCAATCAATAATAAGAAATCCACAAAAAAGTATCAAAAGTGTTGCTCCAAATAAAATCCAAGTTGTAAGATCAAATATCATGAATAATTTCTCTTGTGGCTTAAAAGTTCTAAAAGACGGCAAAAGAAGATTGATTTTTATATTCATGAATGAATTAGACATGCGGATTTTTGAATTGTCATATAAACTTGTGCTCAAAATATCAAAGAAGACATTTGGATGCTTGAAAGTTTTGTTATATCCAAAAGGATATATTCTTTTTAAATTGAAATCACGAATCCAATCTGCATCATATACATCAGTAGGGCAGTAAGAGTCTATGAAATTGAATTTATTAGCAGCCATTTTAAATATGGCAGGTGTAATCCCATGAGTCTTAATTTCATTGTCATTTGCATCCAAATATGAGATACCCCAATGATATGTCGTTAATTCAGATTTATATAAAAATGGAAGCATAAGAACTAACTCACATCCATTAAAATTTAAAAACTTTTCATATGCTTGAAGCTTCCACATCCAAGTCATTGATTTTTTGTCAAATCCATTGATTTTAGTCAATCGTGGCTTGTTGCAGTCTTTCAAAAACCACTCAATTGTTGATATGCTGATTATGCTGCGCTCATTTACAATGAAATATGAATGATATAAAATTGATCCAGGATTTAATATTAGTTATGAAAAATTTTTGATATATTTTGAATTTTTCAACTTTTCGAACGTGACGCTATTGATGTAAATAAAGTATCGAATTGGCTGATTTTGATATCGAATGGCTGAAAATTTTAAAACTTCTGCCAAAAAATCGTCATTATATATTAAAAATATTGCTGAATTAAATATATTAATTGGCCATTTCATCTTAAATGTGAATAATGTCCAAAATTTATATGAAAATGTTTCATTATTGTTGTTTAAAAATTCCGAAAAAATGCTCATTTTATAATCCGGAAATGGTAAAAGAACGTAAATATCCAATGGACTCATTTCCTTCACAAAATAAACATCAATTATATCCTTAATGACTTGAGCTAGCGGCAGAATAGCTGGATGAGTTGAAACTCCAGTCAAAATGTTGTCATTCGATACAAAACTTGAGCAAAAAGTAAATTGAATTAAAAATATTTTCAACCGAAAATTCATCACTATTAACTTAATAAAGTCAAGCACTAAAATGATATTTATTCAGTTTCTGAAAATTGGTTCCAATGTTGTTAATTGTAAGCTTCATTAATATTTAATTATGGATTGTAAATTTGTTGCTAATAAGTTGTAAGTTGTTAAAGATAAGCATGTCTATATACCGATCAATATAACGTACTTTTCATATTTGAATTGTTAAAACGTTTCAACATTTTGTGTTTAAGAGGAAGGAGTCTATTGAATTATCTAGAAGGAAGCAAACTTCTAGATGACAAAACCACAGAAAAAAGTATGACTTCAAAAAACGGATCCCGAGCAGGACTCGAAACCATGTCCTACGATTTCCGGTCACATACTCCTACCACTGAGCTATCGGGGGTTACAAGATTATATGGCTAAATCCCATTTATAAGTTACACTCTTTTCACTGTTCCCTTGCACCACATGATTAATCGTTGACTAGCTATTACATGGAATCGCATATTCCAAGAGAGTCAGGTTTGCACCCACAAGAGAAAATATATTTATTTTTAATGCATTGAGAACCTTAATAGAGCTTGATCAGCAGCACAATATTTAGTCGTATTTGAGGATACCAAGAGTAAGCATTCACTTGACATTTGGCTTCTTTAATCCTTCTTAGTGCTTTAATTTCTCAATAAAAACCAAAACGAACTAATAAATCCCAAGAATTCATTTACATCCACAGTGTACGATGCATGATTTATGAGGTCATAAGTGGAGGTCAAAAAAAATGAAAGTTTTTTCGATGATGCAGCACAATGATGCTGTTGTCTGTCTATTACATTATCGCGTCGACATTCAATCTGTACAGGAATAAGTCAGGCCTTTTGATAGTGAAAGTTAATCTTTCTCACTCACTCAGCAACAACTTCTATCTTCAAGATATATTACCGACTATAATCTTTTTATTTTCATGTTTTTTTCATACTTAATGGCACTGCCGGGTTAAATTATCATTTTCACATGTCGATTTTTAATTTATTAGATGTTTCCCGTTACGCTGCAAAATGTGTTTACATACTTGACAACATGAAGCTCAATTGCTTCGTTGATATGACTTCGATACTTCTTTTTTTATTATTTTTATTACTTCATGATCGTTCAGCGGATTATACGTGGAAGAGATGAACGACGAGAGATAGGATCGGAAGATGTAAATGAAAGCTGATTTTGTTATTGCTATTTAACATTCTAATTTACGTAACATTTAAGAGATCGGTTGATAGCTGTTATGGATGTTTATGTAATGAACGGAAGATTGCGTTTAATATGTACTTTTTTTAATGATATATTAATTTTAAAAATGTAAAATAAAAATGAAAAAAAAATTTAAAACAATTGAAATTAAATTAAATTGTTTAAAAAACTTATTTGGTAAGCTTAAAGGTTCTGCTCGCTCACTTCAATTAGCTTCGATCTTTTAAATTCCCATTAACAGCACCAATAATCCTATATAATCTTATTATAATTAAACTTCCGCGTGCCTCTCCAAAAATTAAATGTTGATGATCCAAAAACTCATCCATGACCGTCATACAGTCAGCTGACATTAACTTACCAACCACATATTTATTTACTTAACTTCCTTTATCCAGCACAGCTCAACGCAAAATGATGTACTAATAAGCAGCTTAAATGACAAAGCAATTAGCCGTGCGAGTACAAACCTATACTCAATCAGTCAGTTAATCATTTATGAATGAAAAGATGATTGTTCGAAACTTCACACTGAATAATTTACAAAGCTACATATGGTAGCATAAAATTGTCAGAAAAAAAAGTGTTTTGGTAATTAAGAAAATTTTAAAAGTCATTTATTTTGCAGGTCTGAGAAAAAATAAATCTTTCAAGGACGTTGTTTGAGTCGGTGCGGTTTCTGTTAGAAATAAAGAATTTAATGAGCTGAACTTTAGGAATGCTTTTGAAAATTAAAGGATGATGATCTGATGTTGAAGCTTTTGAAGATATTTATATGATTATTGATTAATATCAAGAATAGGTTGAAATGTGTTTAAAGTGTCCATAAGTTCTTTCCATTTTAAGTCACTATGGCAAGCTTTAGCTGCATCATTTAGGAACTAGACTATTCTTTTTTAATGTCACTCAGCATTTTGTTACTTTCTTCATTTGATAATTGTTTGGACGTCACAATAATTTCCTATTTGATTTAGATTTATGAATCCTTTTTCAGGTAAAAACTTAAGCATGCACGCGTGATCTCTCTCATCTGAACTTAAACTTTTTGTAGATGACACTGAGAGTTAAAATGCTCATTTTCCTACGACTTTTTACTTAAAAATGAAATGAATGAAGCTGTAACTGCACTGAATCTAGATTATTCAAAGCAATATCAATTTGAATTATTGTAGATGCAAAATTGCTCTATTATAGTTTGAATGATGTATGTTAAAAATAATGCAATTGAAAAAAATGACGAGATTAATTCTAATTTCAGTAAAGATGATATCATAAATATGCATAAATGAAGCGTAATTTCATGATTTCATAAACGTTCCAAGATAACGATAGACTTGTACGAGAACAATAAGAATCAAATTATTTTTATTTTTTATTTTCATTTGCTTGATTCTGAATAAATGAAATATTTACGATCCCGCGCAACAAATGCAGCTATATGGATCAACTAAGAACGATGATTATCAACCAAAAAAGCATGAAAATAATCCAGCGATGCCAGATTGAAGCTGAGGTGTAAGTTTCTCCTTGTTTTCAGCACGAACAGCTGAATCAATGTCATTTTTCTCCAATGCACCAATTGCAATTGAAATTTCATAGAAACGAGAATTTCTGAAGTTGTTAATTACACATTCTACACTGCTCCTTGAAAGTCCTTTTTTGTTGTATTCACTTCTAAGTTTTTCATCAATTTCAGTTTTAAGTTCCTCGATTATTTTATCGCAATCAATTTTACTGGTATCAATATTGTGTGGATTGATGTCAAAGTCACCAATGTTGATTAGTTTTTTATCAATTGATGTTTTCAAGGAACAATAATTCTGCTCAACAACCGTTTTTGATGTGTTTGTGATGTCCAAAATCTCGTCAAAAATTCCTGCCCATGTTGGATCACTCTGACAATCTTTAGCTGCATCATTCAAAACATTTTTCATGTCCTCTTTGTTCTCATTGAGCATTTTATTGATGTCATCCCTTGAAAGCATCTTTGACGATTCAATTATTTCTTTTTTCATTGCACGATACACGAAGTTGTTATTCTTAAGCTCCGTCTTGACGCAGTCTGCTTTAATTGACTCTTTTTCATCAAATTTTGTGTAGAACCCATTTTCTAATGACGTAACTACAGTTTGGACTAAGAAGCACATTCTAGGTTGACCATCATGTGGAAAATCATGATCTAATAATCCTTTCTCTTGCAACATTCTTACTATGCATGCATTACTGTCGTCCTCTGCTCTATCACTCTTCACAAATGATCCTGTGATGACCAAGAATAAAATTGTCACGAAAACTTTCATTTTTTTATTTCTTCTCGACTTATCACTCAATAAAATTTAAATTGAAATGAATACTTTCTCTGTGGATGCATGTCATTTTATATGAATTCAGCTTACATAGCTTAAATTAATTCACTAAAATTTTATTGAATTGTATTAGAGCAAATTTACGAAATAATACAATTTTCAATCAGAGAAATAAAAATTGGGATTTTCCAGTGGATTGTCCATTTAAAAATTGAAGCGAAAATAATTTCAGCATCGTAAAGGTTCTGACCTCTTATTCCTGTTAATATTCTTATCAATTCTTTTAATTCTTTACGTGGGAAGAAGAAGGAACCTAACTAGAGTTTGTTTTTATAGCAGTGAAATCTCATTTGTAGCTTCTGACTTCCCCAAACCCCCTTGAATGAACTACTCCAGTGTCTTTTAAATGTTTTGAACTGTGACACAGCAACAACTTATTAAATATAACCTATATCAAGGGTGCAGAACTGGCAAATTGAATTTTGATAAGTTCAACAAGCTAGAATTAGGTTTTTATTTATTAGGGTGGAGCATTGGGGATTCAATTGATTTAATTTTAAATTTTGATACTTTTGCTGTTTTATTAGTAAAAATTGAGTTCTTTGAGGTTTGTTAAGAAAATATCAAAAATCTGCTGACATTCAGTCAATATGAAGCTACTACTTTAAAATGATAATTTTTTATGGTTCTCATGCGTTAGTATTGCCTCATATAATTTCCATCCAAATACCAAGGATACCGCAATTCTAGCCACAATAATTGTAATACAATTGAAGTAGAGTAAGCTGTCAAAAGTGATTTATGTCTAGTCATTAATTCTAGTTCTTACTAACTCTCCTAAGTGTTACGAAATACACAAACGACCCCTTATTGTATTTCATATTCTTCTACTTAGATTGTAATACGTAAATGGATTTTATGAATTGATGATTGTAAGTATGAAGCTATGATGACGGCAAATTACTTGTGAATCATTACTGCAATTTGTATTAAATTAAGGTAGATTGAATAATGAATAAATGTTTGAAATAAAATTGTTTGTATTTATAGTGAAATTGTATTTTTATGCTACCTGTTGCATTTGTAGCTAATTATTAATCATGTCAATTAAAAGCAGAAATTATGGACCTCATTGCCTTAAAATTTTATGACTTTATAGGATCAATTGTTTCTGATGCTTTAAATAGAGCCTTCTAAGTTGCTAGAAATGCGGATAGTGATTACTTTAAGTAAGAACTATGTTACACTCTAAATGCGGGTTTATATATCTTGATTGGTAGATAGGATATCGTAATTATCCACTAAAATCGCCACATTTCATTAAATACCGTAAAGATTTATCAACTTTTTGTTAATTCACAATCAGAATCCTCACAAAACCTTAATAAATTCCTTCAAGTTCTTAAAAAAGACCACAAAAGACATTCCGTTGCATGCTCAAAAGAATTCCTTTTTTTTGCCTCCTTAAGAATAGAAATCATCTTCATCTATTTTGTAGTTTGTTCTTCTGTTTTTCTATTCTTAGAGACTTTTCTTTTATTTTGTAACAATTGAACAATGGTGAAATAAATTGTATCACAAATTTGTAGATGTTGCATGCAACAATGAATTGTCGTCTATTTATTTCCTTCTCGGCAAGAATAATGGTTGCAAGTTGGAATTTTCTGGTCGGTGTGGGGAATAAGGTGCATATTGAGACTGGAGGTATGTTGCTGGACTATACAACACTAGTGATGAATTATTTGGAAGTAAAGTTCTTTGTATCCTAATATATGATTGGAGGCATCCTTTAAGAAGCTATAGAGGTCCTTATCTGCATTTAAGAGGGACTTAAGTTAACTCAGGAACTTTTTGGGTGTCCTCCAGAGTTCACAAAATAGTAATTTGAGCAGTTAAGTGCCTTGCTGGTCGAATAGGTAAGGCGCTTGGCTCAAATTTGGGATGGTAACGTCGGTTCGAATCGAGGCATTTCCAAATTTGTTCTTTTTCGGAAGTTTAGATACTTCGACTGCTTAATGTAGGAGATCAGGCCATAATTGGGCATTTGGGCAACGTTGGATTAAGGAATGGGTCAGGAAATTGAAGTGTAGCGGGAGAAATAGGAACGAGAGCTACAAGATTACCCACGAATGGAATATTGTTAGAACGGACCTGAAAGGTATCACGACACGCCTACAGAAGATCGAAACGAGAACCTTAGTTTATTTTTAAATCAAAGATATCAGACAATTGTACAAGCTAATCTCAAACTGCCCCTAGCCTCTCTTTAAAACATACTTTATACTATTACATGTCAACAAACCCCACACAGTGCTCATAAGTCTCAAATCTATCAATTTATCACCACGCATTAATTATCCTCATCCAGACAGCCTCAATTGAATACAAAAAGACCCATCATCATCCCAAAAGACTCCGTGAATAGAACAAAAAATGCATTATATGCATCTACTTATAAATATTAGAAGAAAGAAAGAGTTGAAATATCTCAATTGAATTCAATTGAAATGAATGAATGCACTTTCATCACCTCTGCTTTGAACTTGATCTTCTTCTTACGTACATGTGCATGTTGAAGGCAGCAGCATCAAAAGAATTCTCTTTATAGACTTTTCAAGAGAAGGCATGCAAACAGGAAATATATTTATATAAATTTATTATTTTTGGCATCATCTAGCATTGACAATAGATGGCAAAAAAAGAAGAAGAAGCTTTAAAGGAATGAACATACATGAGAGGAGAGAAATTGAGCATGAAGAAGCGAATAAATTACGGCTATGACAATTCTTTAGATGTCGATATCATTATCTGAAGAAAAAAATTGGGATTTGACCTCGGAAAGGTTAAGTTTTTGCTGGATATTGAAATGTCAAGCATGCAAGGCTAGGTATAAAGTTATTAGCTTTGTAAATCACTTAGTTTGGATCTTCAGAAGTCTTAGAATTAAGTTTTGAAGCAAGAAGTCATTGTTAAAGTTGTAAAGAGCTCAATTTCGCTATTAAATGCTAATCTCGCTGCTGGACTTGACCACAATTAGTACCAAATTATCAACTTAGGTTAGCAATCTCAAACACCATACTCAAAATTGATACAAAATGTTTCTATGGATCATGCTTAAGATGAACTAGAAAAGTATCAATATGTTTGCTGACTTGATACTTAAATACGGACCAAGCCAAGTATAATAAAATGCTAAAATTTGACTCGAACTCAAATAGTTCTAAAGTCAGTAGTTTGAAGTTCGAAACTTACATTTATATGGTAAAGAAACCAAATGCGCTGTACCCGAATCTTTTCGCCTTTTTTGAAGATTTTTTTTACTTTTTGTATACAAGTTTGGTGACAAGAAGGAAGCGGGGCTTAAAAATCAAACTTATAATGTCTAACATTCTAGAATAGCTAAGACTGTCAGTTACAGATAAACAGCATTAGCGACCCACCCTTCTTTTAAACAAAACTCAAACCTTGCCATTCCAAAAGATTCAATAATAAATAATCAAGCAACACATAAAGCATAAATGCAGATTGCAATAAATTTTTAAACTTAAACATTTCATTTCGATATTTAGTCATGCACATACACACAACCGAAATGGCAAGTGCAAAAAAATTCTCCTTTTAGATGAATTTCGATATCACGACAAATAAAAAAAAATTGCAGCTAAGCTGAGAATCATGATTTTCTCTCAGGCATAAAAACAATCATCTCATCCTACATGCTTTCACGGTAGCTTTTTTTTGCTTGAGTTTTTGAAAAGCAGAAAAATCGTGGCGACATTTCATTCTTTACAGTTACAGCAGTAGAAGCACACGGGCAAGTAACAAGTCATTTTTCAACAAGTACTTTCTCATTTTATTTTATTAAGATATATGTACGGATGCATTACGGAGGATGAACAGATATTGTTTTATTCACATAAATAATAAATATCTGCATTGCATGCAATGTGGACCTTTTGTCATACTTTACAATAATTGTACGTTGCATCTACGTATAAGACAATGAGCTGTGAAATAAAGGACGTGGGAAGACGAACACTCGTTTTTCAATACCGTGGCTGCGATTTGTACACACACTGACTGGAAGTTGAATTATTTATTGTGTGTTGATTAGATACTTAGCAAATCAAGCTTGATTGATTTATTGTGCATGATTTATGAGGCTAATGTTATCAAAATGAAGAAATTTATTGCTACTTTTATTTTGCTTCTTATGTGGTCAGGCTTGCTAGCTGGTCATGAAATTTTTTTATTGGTGTTTAAATTCGCGAAAAGATTGATTGGACAATGAGTTGATGTAAATTTTCGACTGAAGAAAACTAATAAAAATGATTTATGAATCGGGTTTTGGAGATTTTTCGAGGGGGGAACAACTTGATGGGAAAAAGTTTTGATGATAAATTTTTTTAAATTTTTTCTATAATTCCTATCAGAATTATGATGTGAAATCGATGGGAATTATTGTTAAATTTTTTTTCCATTATGTTGTTTCCCCCTTGGTTTATAGGTTTTTCGAAAAATTCATATTTAATGTGCAAATGCCTTCGAAAACGGGGGTCCCAAATTTTCACTCTCAAATTCAAAAATTGAGTGGATTCTTGACTTAATCGACCTATTGTCTATCTACATACGGCCATATACTTTCATTTAATGCTTTAATAGCTTCTATAACCTTAGAAACAGGCAGAATTTGAATAAAAATAGAGCCAGTTTTAGATGAGCTCTGAATACGGCAATGAGCCACCATGTGCCTTAACCAATGAAGAAGAAGAAGTTTCTACAACCAGTAACAGGATACACCAAACATTTTTTAATTTCAAAATTTCTCAAAAACATCAAAACATTTTTATCATTTTTTACGTCACAGCCAATAAAATCAGGAACACGTATGTAGAAAACATTTCTAAAATCATTCAAATTTATGTTAATGCTTCGAAATTCAATCCTTAGTTCGATCAATTAAATCGAATAAAGTTATCAAAATATTGCTTTATTAATTCTCGTAAATTTTGATTGCGTTGATTGGCTGCTAACTTTATTCAGC